GTCCGGTATACTGTGTGGGATGGTCAGGTATACTGTGTGGGATTGTCCGGTATACTGTGTGGGATGGTCAGGTATACTGTGTGGGATGGTCAGGTATACTGTGTGGGATGGTCAGGTATACTGTGTGGGATGGTCCGGTATACTGTGTGGGATGGTCCGGCATACTGTGTGGGATGGTCCGGTATACTGTGTGGGATGGTCAGGTATACTGTGTGGGATTGTCCGGTATACTGTGTGGGATGGTCAGGTATACTGTGTGGGATGGTCAGGTATACTGTGTGGGATGGTCAGGTATACTGTGTGGGATGGTCCGGTATACTGTGTGGGATGGTCCAGTATACTGTGTGGGATGGTCCGGTATACTGTGTGGGATGGTCCGGTATACTGTGTGGGATGGTCCGGTATACTGTGTGGGATGGTCAGGTATACTGTGTGGGATTGTCCGGTATACTGTGTGGGATGGTCAGGTATACTGTGTGGGATGGTCCGGTATACTGTGTGGGATGGTCCGGTATACTGTGTGGGATGGTCAGGTATACTGTGTGGGATGGTCCGGTATACTGTTTGGGATGGTCCAGTATACTGTGTGGGATGGTCCGGTATACTGTGTGGGATGGTCCGGAATACTGTGTGGGATGGTCCGGTATACTGTGTGGGATGGTCAGGTATACTGTGTGGGATTGTCCGGTATACTGTGTGGGATGGTCAGGTATACTGTGTGGGCTGGTCCGGTATACTGTGTGGGATGGTCCGGTATACTGTGTGGGATGGTCAGGTATACTGTGTGGGATGGTCCGGTATACTATGTGGGATGGTCCGGTATACTGTGTGGGATGGTCCGGTATACTGAGGGATGGTCAGGTATACTGTGTGGGATGGTCCGGTATACTGTGAGGGATGGTCAGGTATACTGTGTGGGATGGTCCGGTATACTGTGAGGGATGGTCAGGTATACTGTGTGGGATGGTCCGGTATACTGTGTGGGATGGTCCAGTATACTGTGTGGGATGGTCCGGTATACTGTGTGGGATGGTCCGGTATACTGTGTGGGATAGTCCGGTATACTGTGTGGGATGGTCAGGTATACTGTGTGGGATTGTCCGGTATACTGTGTGGGATGGTCAGGTATACTGTGTGGGATGGTCAGGTATACTGTGTGGGGTGGTCAGGTATACTGTGTGGGATGGTCCGGTATACTGTGTGGGATGGTCCAGTATACTGTGTGGGATGGTCCGGTATACTGTGTGGGATGGTCCGGTATACTGTGTGGGATGGTCCGGTATACTGTGTGGGATGGTCAGGTATACTGTGTGGGATTGTCCGGTATACTGTGTGGGATGGTCAGGTATACTGTGTGGGATGGTCCGGTATACTGTGTGGGATGGTCCGGTATACTGTGTGGGATGGTCAGGTATACTGTGTGGGATGGTCCGGTATACTGTGTGGGATGGTCAGGTATACTGTGAGGGATGGTCCGGTATACTGTGTGGGATGGTCAGGTATACTGTGTGGGATGGTCCGGTATACTGTGAGGGATGGTCAGGTATACTGTGTGGGATGGTCCGGTATACTGTGTGGGATGGTCCGGTATACTGTGTGGGATGGTCCGGTATACTGTGTGGGATGGTCAGGTATACTGTGTGGGATGGTCAGGTATACTGTGTGGGATGGTCCAGTATACTGTGTGGGATGGTCAGGTATACTGTGTGGGATGGTCAGGTAAACTGTGTGGGATGGTCAGGTATACTGTCTGGGATGGTCAGGTATACTGTGTGGGATGGTCCGGTATACTGTGTGGGATGGTCAGGTATACTGTGTGGGATGGTCCGGTATACTGTGTGGGATGGTCAGGTATACTGTGTGGGATGGTCAGGTATACTGTGTGGGATGGTCAGGTATACTGTGTAGGATGGTCAGGTATACTGTGTGGGATGGTCCGGTATACTGTGTGGGATGGTCCGGTATACTGTGAGGGATGGTCAGGTATACTGTGTGGGATGGTCCGGTATACTGTGAGGGATGGTCAGGCATACTGTGTGGGATGGTCCGGTATACTGTGTGGGATGGTCAGGTATACTGTGTGGGATGGTCCGGTATACTGTGTGGGATGGTCCGGTTTACTGTGTGGGATGGTCAGGTATACTGTGTGGGATGGTCCGGTATACTGTGTGGGATGGTCCAGTATACTGTGTGGGATGGTCCGGTATACTGTGTGGGATGGTCCGGTATACTGTGTGGGATGGTCCGGTATACTGTGTGGGATGGTCAGGTATACTGTGTGGGATTGTCCGGTATACTGTGTGGGATGGTCAGGTATACTGTGTGGGATGGTCCGGTATACTGTGTGGGATGGTCCGGTATACTGTGTGGGATGGTCAGGTGTACTGTGTGGGATGGTCCGGTATACTGTGTGGGATGGTCCGGTATACTGTGTGGGATGGTCCGGTATACTGTGAGGGATGGTCAGGTGTACTGTGTGGGATGGTCCGGTATACTGTGAGGGATGGTCAGGTATACTGTGTGGGATGGTCCGGTATACTGTGTGGGATGGTCCAGTATACTGTGTGGGATGATCCGGTATACTGTGTGGGATGGTCCGGTATACTGTGTGGGATAGTCCGGTATACTGTGTGGGATGGTCAGGTATACTGTGTGGGATTGTCCGGTATACTGTGTGGGATGGTCAGGTATACTGTGTGGGATGGTCAGGTATACTGTGTGGGGTGGTCAGGTATACTGTGTGGGATGGTCCGGTATACTGTGTGGGATGGTCCTGTATACTGTGTGGGATGGTCCGGTATACTGTGTGGGATGGTCCGGTATACTGTGTGGGATGGTCCGGTATACTGTGTGGGATGGTCAGGTATACTGTGTGGGATTGTCCGGTATACTGTGTGGGATGGTCAGGTATACTGTGTGGGATGGTCCGGTATACTGTGTGGGATGGTCCGGTATACTGTGTGGGATGGTCAGGTATACTGTGTGGGATGGTCCGGTATACTGTGTGGGATGGTCAGGTATACTGTGAGGGATGGTCCGGTATACTGTGTGGGATGGTCAGGTATACTGTGTGGGATGGTCCGGTATACTGTGAGGGATGGTCAGGTATACTGTGTGGGATGGTCCGGTATACTGTGTGGGATGGTCCGGTATACTGTGTGGGATGGTCCGGTATACTGTGTGGGATGGTCAGGTATACTGTGTGGGATGGTCAGGTATACTGTGTGGGATGGTCCAGTATACTGTGTGGGATGGTCAGGTATACTGTGTGGGATGGTCAGGTAAACTGTGTGGGATGGTCAGGTATACTGTGTGGGATGGTCAGGTATACTGTGTGGGATGGTCCGGTATACTGTGTGGGATGGTCAGGTATACTGTGTGGGATGGTCCGGTATACTGTGTGGGATGGTCAGGTATACTGTGTGGGATGGTCAGGTATACTGTGTGGGATGGTCAGGTATACTGTGTAGGATGGTCAGGTATACTGTGTGGGATGGTCCGGTATACTGTGTGGGATGGTCCGGTATACTGTGAGGGATGGTCAGGTATACTGTGTGGGATGGTCCGGTATACTGTGAGGGATGGTCAGGCATACTGTGTGGGATGGTCCGGTATACTGTGTGGGATGGTCAGGTATACTGTGTGGGATGGTCCGGTATACTGTGAGGGATGGTCCGGTATACTGTGTGGGATGGTCCGGTATACTGTGAGGGATGGTCAGGTATACTGTGTGGGATGGTCCGGTATACTGTGAGGGATGGTCAGGTATACTGTGTGGGATGGTCCGGTATACTGTGAGGGATGGTCAGGTATACTGTGTGGGATGGTCCGGTATACTGTGTGGGATGGTCAGGTATACTGTGTGGGATGGTCAGGTATACTGTGTGGGATGGTCCGGTATACTGTGTGGGATGGTCAGGTATACTGTGTGGGATGGTCAGGTATATGGTGAGGGATGGTCCAGTATACTGTGTGGGATGGTCCAGTATACTGTGTGGGATGGTTCGGTATACTGTGAGGGATGGTCAGGTATACTGTGTGGGATGGTCCGGTATACTGTGAGGGATGGTCAGGTATACTGTGTGGGATGGTCCGGTATACTGTGAGGGATGGTCAGGTATACTGTGTGGGATGGTCCGGTATACTGTGTGGGATGGTCAGGTATACTGTGTGGGATGGTCAGGTATACTGTGTGGGATGGTCCGGTATACTGTGTGGGATGGTCAGGTATACTGTGTGGGATGGTCAGGTATACTGTGAGGGATTGTCCAGTATACTGTGTGGGATGGTCCAGTATACTGTGTGGGATGGTCCAGTATACTGTGAGGGATGGTCCAGTATACTGTGTGGGATGGTCCAGTATACTGTGTGGGATGGTCCAGTATACTGTGTTGGATGGTCCAGTATACTGTGAGGGATGGTCCAGTATACTGTGTTGGATGGTCCAGTATACTGTGTTGGATGGTCCAGTATACTGTGTGGGATGGTCCAGTATACTGTGTGGGATGGTCCAGTATACTGTGTGGGATGGTCCAGTATACTGTGTGGGATGGTCCAGTATACTGTGTTGGATGGTCCAGTATACTGTGTGGGATGGTCCAGTATACTGTGTGGGATGGTCCAGTATACTGTGTGGGATGGTCCAGTATACTGTGTGGGATGGTCCAGTATACTGTGTTGGATGGTCCAGTATACTGTGTGGGATGGTCCAGTATACTGTGTGGGATGGTCCAGTACACTGTCTATATTTTTTACAGTTATTCTCAGAACTATTAATGATATTGTAATTTTTAAATAAGTATCGTTATTTATTTCCCGTTATACTGTCAGTGTTAAATGTGTATTATTGTCGTTATTATCTGGTATAGCTTATGAATGAAGTGGAAACTGGTGACGGAAGCGGTACGACATGTTTGTCCCGTCGCCGGCAGCACGTCCCAGGCAGAGCGAGGGGTCTGCTCGCTGAGTGCGGGTCTCTCCCGCCAGTTCGCATCTGTGTGTTGAGGAGTGAGGGTGTGTCTCTCGTTAATCTTGGGAAGTTTTGTGCGTTCCCTATTTTGGAAAGGCAGTTGTTGTTTTGCCGGCTCTTATATAAATGAGATGAGAACCAAACACATATATGTGATTCCTTTAATATAAATTGGAGCAACACGCTGGTGATATACAAACATTTATTAATCAGGTGAGTTCGATTTTTATTGTTATATATTTAATGTATGTGAACTAATTGCCAGCCCCCATAAGGCTCAGTTTTTTAGTGATAAATCCGGCTGTAGTTAACCAAATAAACATATACGAGAAAGTAACTATTTATTACAGATTAGTGTCAACAATTTCTGTAATTTAATGCCATTTGTACGACGCTGACATGTTAGTTGAAAACCTTGCGTTATTATATATATATATATATATATATATATATATATATATATATATATATATATATATATATATATATATATATATATATATATATATATATATATATATATATATATATATATATATATATATATATATGTCGTACCTAGTAGCTAGAACGCACTTTTTGGCCTACTATTCAAGGCCCGATTTGCCTAATAAGCCAAGTTTTCCTGAATTAATATATATTCTCTATTTTTTTTCATATGAAATGATAAATCTACCCTTTTCATTATGTATGTGGTCAATTTTTCTTTATTGGAGTTACAATTAACGTAGATATTTGACCGAACCTAACCAACCCTACCTAACCTAACCTAACCTATCTTTATAGGTTAGGTTAGGTTAGGTAGCCGAAAAAGTTAGGTTAGGTAGGTTAGGTTCTCGTAAAACAATTAATTCATGAAAACTTGGCTTATTAGGCAAATCGGGCCTTGCATAGTAGGCAGAGAAGTGCGTTCTGGCTATTAGGTACGACATATATATATATATATATATATATATATATATATATATATATATATATATATATATATATATATATATATATATATATATATAATTGCGAATAATGGGTGCTCAAGAGACTAGGCCGTGCAGTCGGCTTATAGCTGATTGGACCCCACATTGGTCGATTCTCATGTCTGGTCAAGACGGTTGGGCACGTTTATTTAGGCCTAAACCCGATGTAGTTAGAACATATCCGGGAGCTAGACGACTGTTGTGGGTTGCATCTTGGATAAGCCTAACACACATCCTGTTCCAGACAATGGTAAACACAAATGTGAAATATAGAAATTTCCGATGAATTACAGGCCGGGTTGCTCATAGTATTGCCTGAACACATGTCTTGCAGGCTGGCCTGTAACCTTGTGACAACTGCAGGCTGGCCTGTAACCTGGTGACAACTGCAGGCTGGCCTGTAACCTTGTGACAACTGCAGGCTGGCCTGTAACCTTGTGACAGCTGCAGGCTGGCCTGTAACCTTGTGACAGCTGCAGGCTGGCCTGTAACATTGTGACAGCTGCAGGCTGGCCTGTAACCTTGTGACAGCTGCAGGCTGGCCTGTAACCTTGTGACAGCTGCAGGCTGGCCTGTAACCTTGTGACAGCTGCAGGCTGGCCTGTAACCTTGTGACAGCTGCAGGCTGGCCTGTAACCTTGTGACAGCTGCAGGCTGGCCTGTAACCTTGTGACAACTGCAGGCTGGCCTGTAACCTTGTGACAACTGCAGGCTGGCCTATAACCTTGTGACATCTGCAGGCTGGCCTATAACCTTGTGACAACTGCAGGCTGGCCTGTAACCTTGTGACAACTGCAGGCTGGCCTGTAACCTTGTGACAGCTGCAGGCTGGCCTGTAACCTTGTGACAGCTGCAGGCTGGCCTGTAACCTTGTGACAACTGCAGGCTGGCCTGTAACCTTGTGACAGCTGCAGGCTGGCCTGTAACCTTGTGACAGCTGCAGGCTGGCCTGTAACCTTGTGACAACTGCAGGCTGGCCTGTAACCTTGTGACAGCTGCAGGCTGGCCTGTAACCTTGTGACAACTGCAGGCTGGCCTGTAACCTTGTGACAGCTGCAGGCTGGCCTGTAACCTTGTGACAACTGCAGGCTGGCCTGTAACCTTGTGACAGCTGCAGGCTGGCCTGTAACCTTGTGACAGCTGCAGGCTGGCCTGTAATCTTGTGACAGCTGCAGGCTGGCCTGTAACCTTGTGACAGCTGCAGGCTGGCCTGTAACCTTGTGACAGCTGCAGGGTGGCCTGTAACCTTGTGACAACTGCAGGCTGGCCTGTAACCTTGTGACAACTGCAGGCTGGCTTGTAACCTTGTGACAGCTGCAGGCTGGCCTGTAATCTTGTGACAGCTGCAGGCTGGCCTGTAACCTTGTGACAGCTGCAGGCTGGCCTGTAATCTTGTGACAGCTGCAGGCTGGCCTGTAACCTTGTGACAGCTGCAGGCTGGCCTGTAATCTTGTGACAGCTGCAGGCTGGCCTGTAACCTTGTGACAGCTGCAGGCTGGCCTGTAACCTTGTGACAACTGCAGGCTGGCCTGTAACCTTGTGACAACTGCAGGCTGGCCTGTAACCTTGTGACAGCTGCAGGCTGGCCTGTAACCTTGTGACAACTGCAGGCTGGCCTGTAACCTTGTGACAACTGCAGGCTGGCCTGTAACCTTGTGACAACTGCAGGCTGGCCTGTAACCTTGTGACAGCTGCAGGCTGGCCTGTAACCTTGTGACAACTGCAGGCTGGCCTGTAACCTTGTGACAACTGCAGGCTGGCCTGTAACCTTGTGACAACTGCAGGCTGGCCTGTAACCTTGTGACAGCTGCAGGCTGGCCTGTAACCTTGTGACAACTGCAGGCTGGCCTGTAACCTTGTGACAACTGCAGGCTGGCCTGTAACCTTGTGACAGCTGCAGGCTGGCCTGTAACCTTGTGACAACTGCAGGCTGGCCTGTAACCTTGTGACAACTGCAGGCTGGCCTGTAACCTTGTGAGAACTGCAGGCTGGCCTGTAACCTTGTGACAGCTGCAGGCTGGCCTGTAACCTTGTGACAACTGCAGGCTGGCCTGTAACCTTGTGACAACTGCAGGCTGGCCTGTAACCTTGTGACAGCTGCAGGCTGGCCTGTAACCTTGTGACAACTGCAGGCTGGCCTGTAACCTTGTGACAGCTGCAGGCTGGCCTGTAACCTTGTGACAACTGCAGGCTGGCCTGTAACCTTGTGACAGCTGCAGGCTGGCCTGTAACCTTGTGACAGCTGCAGGCTGGCCTGTAATCTTGTGACAGCTGCAGGCTGGCCTGTAACCTTGTGACAGCTGCAGGCTGGCCTGTAACCTTGTGACAGCTGCAGGGTGGCCTGTAACCTTGTGACAACTGCAGGCTGGCCTGTAACCTTGTGACAACTGCAGGCTGGCTTGTAACCTTGTGACAGCTGCAGGCTGGCCTGTAATCTTGTGACAGCTGCAGGCTGGCCTGTAACCTTGTGACAGCTGCAGGCTGGCCTGTAATCTTGTGACAGCTGCAGGCTGGCCTGTAACCTTGTGACAGCTGCAGGCTGGCCTGTAATCTTGTGACAGCTGCAGGCTGGCCTGTAACCTTGTGACAGCTGCAGGCTGGCCTGTAACCTTGTGACAACTGCAGGCTGGCCTGTAACCTTGTGACAACTGCAGGCTGGCCTGTAACCTTGTGACAGCTGCAGGCTGGCCTGTAACCTTGTGACAACTGCAGGCTGGCCTGTAACCTTGTGACAACTGCAGGCTGGCCTGTAACCTTGTGACAACTGCAGGCTGGCCTGTAACCTTGTGACAGCTGCAGGCTGGCCTGTAACCTTGTGACAACTGCAGGCTGGCCTGTAACCTTGTGACAACTGCAGGCTGGCCTGTAACCTTGTGACAACTGCAGGCTGGCCTGTAACCTTGTGACAGCTGCAGGCTGGCCTGTAACCTTGTGACAACTGCAGGCTGGCCTGTAACCTTGTGACAACTGCAGGCTGGCCTGTAACCTTGTGACAACTGCAGGCTGGCCTGTAACCTTGTGACAGCTGCAGGCTGGCCTGTAATCTTGTGACAGCTGCAGGCTGGCCTGTAACCTTGTGACAGCTGCAGGCTGGCCTGTAACCTTGTGACAACTGCAGGCTGGCCTGTAACCTTGTGACAGCTGCAGGCTGGCCTGTGGCCTCGTGACAGCTGCAGGCTGGCCTGTGTGACCTTGTGACAGTTACAGGCTGGCCTGTATGACCTTATGAGTTACAGGCTGGCCAGTGTGACCTTGTGACAGCTGCAGGCTTGCATGTGTGACCTTGTGACAGCTGCAGGCTGGCCTGTGTGACCTTGTGACAGTTACAGGCTGGCCAGTGTGGCCTCGTGACAGCTGCAGGCTGGCCTGTGGCCTCGTGACAGCTGGAGGCTGGCCTGTGGCCTCGTGACAACTGCAGGCTGGCCTGTGTGACCTTGTGACAGTTACAGGCTGGCCAGTGTGGCCTCGTGACAGCTGCAGGCTGGCCTGTGTGACCTTGTGAGTGTTACAGGCTGGCCAGTGTGACCTTGTGAGAGTTACAGGCTGGCCAGTGTGGTCTCGTGACAACTGCAGGCTGGCCAGTGTGGCCTCGTGACAGGTGCAGGCTGGCCTGTGTGACCTTGTGAGAGTTACATACCTGTACAGGGTTTCGGGAGTTCTACTGCTCCATCCTGGCCTGAGGCCAGGCTCGACTTGAGATAACTTGATCCACCATGCTGTTGCTGGGAGCTGCCCGCAGGCAAACATATCCATCACAGCCCGGTTGGTCTGGCACTTCTTGAAGAAAACAATCTTGTTTCCTCTTGAAGATGTCCACGGTTGTTCCGGCAATATTTCTTATGCTCGCTGGGAGGACGTTGAACAACCGCGGACCTCTGATGTTTATACAGTGTTCTCTGATTGTGACTATGGCACCTCTGCTCTTCACTGGTTCTATTCTTGTGGGGTTTGTTATTCTACACATATTTCTAATGACTTAGAGGTTCACATTCTCTCAGTTAGTGGTCAAGGCGGCGTCCATCACTCTCACTACAGATTCTGCAACTCCGCTGCTCAAATGTTGTTCCCATTCCGAATTTCCGTGGATATTTCTATCTAAGATGGATTCTCGCTAATACTGATTCTCTCCCTCGTCCTCCTCCTCTTCGTCCATAATGATTGGGATTGCCAGCTGCAACCATGTTGTACCATCGTACAGATTCACTGGTTTGTGCTTCTATCCTCCTTTCCTCAGTTACC